CCCCCGCGCCGCGCCCGCTGGCGGTGAGGCTCCAGTTGGCGACGCACGAGTCGGCGCGGGAGAGGTCGTAGAGCCCGACCCAGCGCGTCCACGTCCCGGCGGCGACCAGGCTGGTGTCGGGCTGGGCGGCAAGGGCGGACACGGTGCCCTTCATACCAACGCCGCCGCCCTTTAGGAGGTGGCGAGTGGACGGGATGGTGGGGATGCGCGAGACGGGGCCCTCACCCGTCCTAGAGGCGTCGAAGTAGGCAATCAGGTTATTAGAGCCGGCGACGAAGTGGGTGCCTGGGGCCTGCCAGATAATAGAGGACGACGTTAAAAAGGCCTCGGTCTCCCGCTTGATGAGACTGTAGGAGGCTAATGGGGGTTGGTGCTGCGGGCGGCGCGCCTGAGACGGCGCGCGTGATGATGTGGAAGAAGAGGATGATGCGCTTGAGACGGAAGATGCGGAGGGGGAGGCGGGCAACGTGTTTGTGGGTTCTTCTTCCTCCTCCTCGTCATCGGCATCCTCTTGGCGGAGCGATTCCTCCGGCAGCCCATCCGGGAAAGCGCTGAGAAGCTGTATGGGGTGATCCTTGCAGGCAACCAGGACGGTCTGGGTCAAAGGATAGCCCAAGGAATAGTATGGGCAGGGAGCGATGGCCCTTGATGGCTCAGGAAGCGTCAGGACGCCCTGTGGGGAGAGCGAAAAGGGAGCCTGCCGCGGCTCCAGAAGGCTTTGTGGGAGGACATAGCTGCAGATGCGGTCATCTGAGGACGAGGCGATGACGGTGGTTCCGTCTGCAGACCACTCAAGGCTCTTGAAAAACGGCCTGATTCCTAGTGAGGAAGAAGACCGATCTAGTAGTGCGCTGTGAGTTTTGCCATGCTGCTGGCTTTCTGGACTGCCCGAGGCGACGATATCAAGGCGCGGTTTGGGCTTTGATGACGGCTGTGGTGGTGACGGGACTTCCATCCTCGTGGTACAGCTGGGTAAAGCACGGAATTACTGAGAAATCAAGTGCGGGAAACCCCATAGCAGCCGTATATAAAGAAGTGAAGCTCGCTTGGAAAAATCGAGGTTGATTCCCAGCACAGTATCGTGGAATAGAATTCCATTGAGCCAATTCAGGCCCAGACGGAGTGGACCTGCCCTGCAGGAACCCGCTAGTGCGAGGCCCAGCCTTTTGGGGTGGGGGCTAGTGGGACCGCCGCACGGTGCACGTGTTGGGAGCTTGGACGCTAAGAGGCAACTCCGACGCTGTGTGCCTGACCCTTGTTGTTCGGATGAAGCTTGGCTCGACATCGTCGTCGTCGTGCTGACGGCACGCGCAAACAGCCACTGGGCCTAGCCTCAGCCACCACCGTCCAAAGCACCGCTTCCGCAATGGCGTCGATCATGGACCTGTCCGAACGTTGCGACGAGCTCCGGTCGCCGGGGGCCATCAACCTCATCGTGTCGATGTGAGCGTCCCAAACAAACAGAGAGCCTCCGGTTCCATGCTGACTCCCGCGCTGTCATAACCTTGTCGTAGAATAATCGTCATCGGCATGCTCATCTCATACCTCCCCCAACACTACCGAATCATCTCGCGCGGCACCTCGGAGGGCATCTCGCCCTACTTCGTCCTGCTCGGCGTCACGTCGGCCACGTCGGGCTTCGCCAACATCCTCACCTTACCCCAGTCCCGCCAGGACGTGGCCTGCTGCAAGGACCTCGATACTTTTCACTGCCTCGCCGGCCTGCTCGGGATTGCCCAGCTGGGCGCCCAGTGGATATGCTTTGCCGTAATGTTGGTCTTGTCCGCTGGCTCTTGCGGTGATTTGGGGATCGATCTAACGAACGCATTCGACACGCGCAAACTCTAGTCTCGTACTGTTCCTCGTGTTCTTCCGTTACGACAACGCGACCGTATCCAGCGACGAAGAGGAAGACCTCGCAGCCGAGGAGCAGCCGAGGTGGCAGACGGCGGTGGCGGTGGCGTGCATCTGCTTCCTGCACGGGCTGGTCGTCATCGTGACCACGGCCGTCATCGGTTACGTCTTCCCGCAGCACCTATCCGGCTGGGCCAACACGCTAGGTCTGTCGGCGGCGGCGCTGGCCGGGGTCCAGTACCTGCCCCAGATCTGGACCACGTATCGACTCAAGCATGTCGGCAGCCTGAGCATCCCCATGATGTGCATCCAGACTCCGGGCGGCTTCCTCTTTGCCAGCAGCCTTTTTGCCCGTTTCGGGCCTGCCGGATGGAGCTCCTGGGGCATCATCTTGCTCACCGCCTCCATGCAAGGCATCCTGCTCTCCATGGCCATATACTACGAGATCAGGCGCGACAAGAGTCACGCCGAGGGGAGCCCCGCCACCGCGTCGGGCGGGGCGACGGGGCGGGCTCCGAATGGGACCACTGTCTTGGTCGAGCCTCAGGGGTCGTCTGCCGCGGACGCCGACGGCCCAGCTGAAAGGCAGCCTCTGCTGAAGGCGTCTGGGAATGGGGCATCCTACATGACGTAAGGACAGGGATTTATAAGCGGGCGTAGGTACCAAAGCTCGGAAATGTTGTGCACGCAGCTCGAAACGTATCGCAGGGTCGGAGAGGCGTCGCACAGGTTTCGTTCTATTTGTCAGTCTCTTTTCCTTTCATTTTCTGTGGCCTTATTTTTAGAGCGTATGTTTGTTGGGTATCTACATGAATTCATTCAAGGTACATGGTACCTGCTTAGACAGATTTCCTTCCCTTTTCTTTTTTCTTCTTCCTTTATGCCACATAGGACGGTAATATGATACACGTGTGCCTGTGAATCATGTCCAGCGGTGCCGAGATCGTCCCTCAAGGGAGGAAATAAGTCGCACCGACGTGCTCGCAGCGCAATAGCGGCGTAGTGATTGTTAGATCCCCTAGGCATATTTCCTGCAGCGAGGGGGGAGGTTGTCAACTGCTACTAAAAGCTCCGGAAACAGAACGGGATCGTTTCCTCAAACTCGCGATGCCAAGGCCCACACAGCGACCTCACAGGGACGTTCCCAGATTGAGTTTGCGGCTCTGCGGGCACATTTCCGGGATCGCTGGGACGCTGACTAGGTTAGACCGGTAAAAGAAGGAAGAAAAAAAAGTAAGCCCGGCGTCCTTGATGCGCTGGAAGACTTGCAATGTGATGCAAGGGGCCTCGGGCATTGTTCACCACAAAACGCGGTTCGACGTTGCTGGTCGGTGGTGTGGGGGGGATAAGCGCTGCGCGGGCTTGGGATTATGGGTCGCGTCTCCTGATGTTCATGCTCTTCCTCCATGCATCTTCCACCTCCCTCGGCTATTTTGCACAAGGAGAAGGAAGAACACAGCCGCGGCGGCACAAGTCTGGAAAGCACGGGCCGGCGACGGCTCAAGTCCGCTGTGGCAGGCTTGCTCAGGCTAGGGCGAAGGCGGCTGGCTATCAAGACTGAAGGCTGCGTGTGGTGTTGCATCCGGCAAGAAGGCTGAAATAAGCTAAACTTGGGCTGCCACTGTGCCCATATTTGCCCCCATCGCTCGCTCCATCGTTGTTGCAACGGCTGCGCACAGACGATGGGGTCCGGGGATGGCTGCACAACGCCCTGAGATCAATCTCGATCTGGATCCGTCAGTCACGCTCTAGCCGTTGCCCAACTCGGGAGGCGCGCAGGACGGACGCGGTCCACATTGGGAAAAGGGCCAAGTTCGGCGGCGCTCGGACAAAACAGCGTCGGGGATCACCAAAGTCAGGCCAAAGGGATGATCGACGCGGATTAGAAACTGTCAATCTCGAGCTCGACGTCTCATGTCCCTCTTTATCCACCTCGCAGCGCCCGCTCCGGCCAGCGTGGGCCCTGCGCTGCGAGATCCCGAGACCGGCTGTAGAGACGGCCAGAAAATGCGCCCGCCAAATCCACGAACCATGATCCATCGACAACTTGGCGTCCTGCAGGGGGGCTGCCCTGAGGGGTTCGCGCCGTCTTCGCCTGCCACCGGGATCTGACAGGCACAGAAATCGCCCTGCCCAACAAACAACGACCCACCGCGATAGGCCGGCGCCCAGAGCCCCGGCCACCATGGTGCTGCCTGCCATGGCGACGTGTGGGTGACGACCCTTCTCCTCTTTACGTCAAAGCCGCCGCTTCTCTGCCCCTCCTCTGTGCCCCCAAGCTCTTATCCTCTTGGGGTTGGCCAAGGCTGCAGACTTCCTCGAACCCAATACTCTCGCTCTTGTGTCTGGTGGCTGTTCCATCATCAATATGTTGCTTTCCCGTTCCCTGTATAATCACTCCTGTTGACCGGGCTGACCTCCTGATTATACACGCGGCCCCATCTCCATTCCTTTTACTTTCTTCTAATCACCAATCGTTTCTGGAAAACGACCAAGATTCTCTTCGCGCCTACTCGCCTCCCCAAATACACTGGGCACGGCACCTAATAAACCCCACCTTCTGCCTCTCCGAATCTGTAATTTCTCGATCAGCCCGGGCAAGCCGAAGTTATGGGTGACAACGGCCGCGGGGGACGATTTAATAGGGGTGGGGGACAAGGTGGTGGTTTTGGACGTGGCAGAGTTGGCGAAAGTAACAACGACAACAACGATGGCCAGAGGGGAAACACAGCGCCCTGCCCTGGGGGCAACGGTACGACTATTGGCACGAGCCAGTCCTTTTCGCTGCAATGCGGCCTCAACCTCGGGGGCGATGTTCTCAACGAGATGCCCATGATCAGCTTTATCGGATGTGTCGACGCCTGTGCGTCAACGCACCCACGCTGCGACGGTGTTTCGTTCAACGGCAGAACCTGTCGCGTCCGCGCCGGCGCCAACATCGCCCAGAGTTCAAGGCCATCCGACGGCTTCGACTCTGCCCTCGCAATCTTCCCCACCGCCATCAACCCTCAGTGCAGCACGCTGGGCCCTTCGATGCAGACGAGCCCTTCTGCAGGCTCCAAGCGCTTCAACGTTTCATGCGCCAACGTCCTCGATGGCGGCGACTTCCTCCAGCAGCACACAGCCACTTTCTTCGACTGCACCGAGCTTTGCGCCCGGTCTAGTGCCTGTGTTGCTGTCTCGTACGACTGGAAAATGACGGGTGGGTTCAACAATTGCTACCTGAAAAATAGTGTCGCGGACATTATTGGCGTCCAAGACATTGACACGGCCATACTGAACCGCGGTGGTAACTCTGGCGGCGGGACGACTGAGCAGCCTGCAAGCAATCCTGCTCCCCCAGCCTCATCATCGCCGGCGGCCGGTGGCGGCAGCGGGCAGGGTGTGGTGCTCGTGCCGATCCCAAGCGGCCAGCCTGCTTTTTCGACTCCATCGCCCCCTACTGCCCAGAACCCAGTGGCGTCCTCGGGACTTTCGGCACCGCCGGCGCAAGCGTCTAGCGCTGCGACCACTCGGGGGCCATCGCAGTCCGTGACGGCGCCCGGCCCATCCTCGGCCACTTTTGCGACATCAACGCGCGGGTCTCTTGTGCAGCCACCAGCGCCGGGTACCAGCAACACAACACCGCCTGTGCAACCGCAACCGGAGCAACTGCCGGCCACGGCAGCTAGCTCTCAGGCCTGGATTGCCGCCCCAGTGGTAGGCGGTGTTGCAGCTATCATGCTCATCGCTGTCGTATTCGCCATATTGGGCCGTCGCCGCGGCTGGATCCGGGGCTGGGGGTCGCGGGGCAAAAGCAGCGGCAGCGATGCCGGCAAGAGCATAAGCGGCGAGAAGGGCGGTGGCGGCAGAGGGCAGATCGAAGGGGACGATGAGTGGCTGCGTGATGCGGAGCGGGGAGCAGCCAGCATGGGTGACGGAGGCCGCAACAACATGGCTGCCAACGCCAGCCGGAGCATTCGGAGCAGCAGAAGCAGCAGAAGCAGCATCGGCGGGGTTACGGCCGGTTCGCGACCCGATTTGGTACCAAGCATGCCTCCGCCCCTAGGTCAGACACCAAGGTACCAGGTCAAAAACGGCAGGATGGCCCTCCACAACAGCCAGCACGGGCAGTTGCAGGATGACACTGGGAATGGCGCAGTCCCCGACTTCCTGAAAGAGTCGAGGGTCGAGCGTCAGACCTAGCTCGAGCAAAGTCGACTCGTATACATCTTCCCCAAACCAGCGCCCCTGCGTTGAGCCCTGTTTTGGCAGCAGTGGGAGGACACCAACCGGCGTTTGCGGGGCTGACATGAAATTGCCCCGATAGCACCAAAATCAACACACCACGCATTCTTTGATCCATTCCACCATCACACCGATCCCGTTGCCTGCCTTCCTCTCTATCCTTACTCAGCGAGGATTGGCTTATAAAGATATACCCAAACCGGAAAAGGCAGGAGTTTGCTTGTTATCAGATGAGACCCTGAATTTTAGTGGGTCTACCGACATATCTAATTATGGAATTAATACGAAATCTTACGAGTCCATTAAAGCGTGTTTTGAGCCATCTACACGCAAGGCCATTAATTCACACATTTATAACTACTCGTGCGGGCTAAAAGCGCCTGCAATTTAACGGTCCTCCGGAGTAAAGTGCGGCGGGGCAATTCGACGTTTTCGGGGCAATTCGACGTTTTTCTGTAACATTTTTCCCCAGCCAAATTAGCTAGAAACCAATATATCGCCGAAAAAGGTAATAGTTAGCCGAATTCCTATAGGCACGGTGCATAGCCAAAAAACCATCGTAATTTTAACCTCGCCAATTTAAGCCTTGCGCTTTTAGGTTTTCCAGCCAAATTTTACCGAAATGCCTAAAATCCGGTGCGAAAAAAAGCGCGAAAAGGCCCGGGCTAATAAAGCCCGGGTCCTAATAGCTTTGGAAGCCTTCGATTAAAACGGCTTTAAAACCTTTGCCGCTTGCGCGCGGCAGTACGGGATAAACCCTTGCTTATTGCAAAAGCGCCGGCAAAAAGGCGCCGGCAAAGTAAAAAACGGCGGGCACAATAAAAAGCTAACAAAAACCGAAAATTTTGCGTTATTTGCGTGGGTTAATTGGAAGC